GGGGAGCCTGGCAGATTTTGCCCATAATTTAGATCTGAAATAATGATCTACATGCCCACACATGGCTGTATCGCTGTAGCTACTTTCCACACTAATAATAATAACAACAACAACAACAACAACAACAACAACAATAATAATAATAATAATAATAATAATAATAATAATTTATTATTTGTACCCCGCCCATCTGGCTGGGTTTCCCCAGCCACTCTGGGCAGCTTCCACAGAGACCAAAAATACACTAAAATGTCACACATTAAAAACTTCCCTGAACAGGGCTGCCTTCAGATGTCTTCTGAATGTCAGGTCATTGCTTATCGCTTTGACATCTGATGGGAGGGCGTTCCACAGGGCAGGCGCCACTACTGAGAAGGCCCTCTGCCTGGTTCCCTGTAGCTTTGCTTCTCGCAATGAGGGAACCGCCAGAAGGCCCTCGGCGCTGGACCTCAGTGTCCGGGCAGAACGATGGGGGTGGAGACGCTCCTTCAGGTATACTGGCTTTATTAGGGCTTTAAAGGTCAACACCAACACTTTGAATTGTGCTCAGAAACATACTGGGAGCCAATGTAGGTCTTTCAAGACCGGTGTTATGTGGTCTCAGCGGCCGCCCCCAGTCACCAGTCACTTGTACAAAAGGGCGGCGTGGAAAATAACCATGTCACCAAGCAGCCTAATTGGTTGCTGGTTCATTGTTGTTAATACGTTGGGATGGTATTCCTATCCTGCTCACAGTCTACTGGAATGAATTGGAGCTGAGGATTGTCCATATTAGTTTAAAATAGTTGTAAACAAATACCACTCGTATCTCTGATCTTAGAATCATAATCCATGTCTCGTTTTTCATAAACATAAATGACTTTGTCATTTTGGAATGCAAATCTTGTTGTTCAATGCAATTACAATGCAGGCACAAATTCATTTCAAACTCTTCAGCCCTAATCAATCTTGGCAGACTAAATAAAGTATAAAAGTACATACGTTTAAAACAATATTGCCAGAAAATCCAGTTGTGAAACCACATGAAGAATGCAAGAGTATTTTTTTTATTCTTTAGATTTATATAATATTTTTCAAAGAAAATGTTTCACAGCAATATACAACAAACCAATATAATATAATATAATATAATATAATATAATATAATATAATATAATATAATATAATATATTATATTGGTTTGTTGTCTATTGCTGTGAAACATTTTCTTTGAAAAATATTATATAAATCTAAAGAATAAATATATATATAATAATATAATATAATATATATAATATAATATAATATAATATAATATAATATAATGGACGCGGGTGGCGCTGTGGGTTAAAGCCTCAGTGACTAGGACTTGCCGATCGAAAGGTTGGCGGTTCAAATCCCCGTGGCGGGGTGCGCTCCCGTTGCTCGGTCCCAGCTCCTGCCAACCTAGCAGTTCGAAAACACCCCCAGGTGCAAGTAGATAAATAGGGACCGCTTACTAGCGGGAAGGTAAACGGCGTTCCGTGTGCTGCGCTGGCTCGCCAGATGCAGCTTTGTCACGCTGGCCACGTGACCCGGAAGTGTCTCCGGACAGCGCTGGCCCCCGGCCTCTAGAGTGAGATGGGCGCACAACCCCAGAGTCTGTCAAGACTGGCCCGTACGGGCAGGGGTACCTTTACCTTTTAATAATATAATGTAATATAATAATATAATATAATATAATATAATATAATATAATATAATATAATAATATAATATAATATAATATAATATAATATAATAATATAATATAATATAATATAATATAATATAATATAATATAATATAATATAATATAATAATATAATATAATATAATACAAAATTAAAACCAGATAAAAGCAAGCATTTCATTACAACTAAAAGCACAAAATACTACTAAAAGTAGACCAGCTAACAGCAAGAGATGGCCATAGCAAAAACTGGACACACCAATAGACTATCTGATAAAAGCAACAGTAGAAAGAGTAGGTCTTTATGTCTCCTTTAAAGACAGCAAGTGATTGAGCCTGCATAACATGCAGAATCGAGTTCAATAACTGTGGGTTCTTCACCAAGAAGACACTGTTCCTTCTGCCCAGCAACCCTAATTGTCTTTGTTGGTGCGCATCTAAGCAGAGCTGCTGAAGCTGATCTTAAGGCAGTATGGGAGATTGATATTTTGCATAGGCAGCCCTTCAGGTAATCCTGTCCTAATCCATTCAGGGAAGCAAAAAAACCCAATGATGTTGCACAAATGACCTGTCTACACCAGTGCAAACCCTTAAGATGAATATCCATCACTTCTATCTACGTGCAAAGTCAACTAGTGTTCACCCTAGGTTCGTTGTGCTGTGATGGCTCATCAATGAATAAACTAGTTTAGTGCAATAAGGTCTATTAGACATCATGGAGTGACACAATGGGGAGCCAAACCTGTGGTTGCCATTTTATGCAGCATCTATGTATTTAGCATATTATCTAGTTTGACCATCATTCTCTTACCTTGTAACAGAATTTGAGATATCGTATGGATTCTGACCATGGAAAAGAGCTCTGCTTGAAAGATCTAGAGCTCTTAATTTTTCAGTAAGCCATTGAAACTCCTCTTCCTTCTCCTCTTCCAGGCTATTACACACATATTCAGCCTGCCTTGTATTATTGGATACTTCTATTGGCCGGCCTTACAGAGCTGTTGAAAGACTATTGTATTCTTGAATGTGAAGTGCCTTGAATATTGATTTGATATATTAATTAGTATAGTTATAATTAAAGCCACATTTATCATGCAGATGAATACTATTTATAGAAAAGTGTATTGTTCTCTGCACTTACGTTCTAATTTTGACCTGCGCTTATGATGCATTTATTTCCATTTGGTATTTAATCAGGTGCACAGATGGTGCTAAAGAGCAGGTAGAAGTGGTTAATAACCTGTGAAGTTTA